TTTCGTACGAGGTTAGACACCAAGAGGCAGTACTTTTCTTCATGAAAGATGTGTCTTCCGTCGCTCATGGAAATTCCTAAGTTCATAATTGGTAGAATTTGGCTTCAAACAGTAATCCTTAAGAAAATGAGTTATTCACTTCATTTTATGATATTTCCTCTCCAAATAATTTAGTACTAGTAGGGTTATAAATATTGAAGGTTTACCAGTACGGCAATCATCAGTTTTGCCGAATTTTTTTCTTTTTTGTATAGTGACAATTGTAGCATGAATAGTAACAATATATCGAAGTATGTTGAGCCTTATCAACAGCTGGATCTCCTAGCTGTAACGTAACCCAATCCACTAAGAAGAAAGTCATATTTTATTGTGAATAGGAGTTGACCAATTACCTCAAAATAGAAGCCTTCATTCCTATGAAACGGACGAGACAGAAGAAAGAGCATGCTTCACTCTAGAAAACTTATATCCTATCATAATTATCTTTTGATCAGTAAGCCGTGCAGCAATAGCATTAATCTTGAGTTCAACAAGATCTTGTTGCATGCGCCAAGCTTAACATATTAAAGGGCTCCACTTTAGTTGAGAAAACCAGGAAGAAATGTAAAACCGAATGTGGTCATTTAGTCCCGTCCAATAAACTACTCTCACTAGAACACTTTGTATAATCTTTAGATCTAATTTTGCAAAAGGTATCTCTATTTTAGATTGAATGAAATTTCTCGCTAACAAGTATACGAATTTTGCAATTTACTTTCCAACTACCTTTGATCGTACACAGTTTTTTCCGTTATATTTTAACATTGTGAATATGCACTATTGTATTTATGTATAAATATCAAGTATATGATATATAAAAATAAAAATATAAAATAAGCGAGCTTTCAAGCTACCAAAATCATGTCACATAGCCATTAAAGTGTTTAATAGACGATTATTATTATTTTTTATTTTATTTTATTTATTTATTTTTATTTTATTTTATTTTTATTTATTAGACGAGATTTTTCCTTGCTTGAGAGCAAAGACATCAAAGCCTTTTTTATAAAAATAATCCATACTTTAATACTTTATTCACGGCAATCTTACGTCAGACATATCCTATTTTGATATGAATTATCCAATTTGATGGAATCAAAATTAGCACTTTTAATTATTCTGCAGATTTGCCAGCAAATCATTTTAATCGTAATGGAACATTCGGATCGAATTAGACATTAATAACTCGATGATGAAAATATGTCATTTTGAAAAATAATATTCTGTCTCTTCCCTCGTGTTACAGCATGTAGAAGTCTATTCCTTGGCTCAGTCGAGATCGAGTCGCTTACTGGGGAAGTTGGTTTAGCGCGCGCCGTAGACGCCATCATTCCACAGACCTCATTGTCAGCTCAGGCCTGCGATCAGGGCGTCTCACGAGTGCGTTACGCCGAAACGTTGGTCCGTTTGGTGCCTGGAGAAGGCGTCACTCTGACCGACGTCCACAGACGCCTCTTTTTCCGGCGTCAGTTTGCTGAACCAACCATCGTTTATGCCGGAATCGAGCCACGAAAAAAAGAGTACGTCTATTGGTGCACAATTCCGGTCTCATGTCTATTCATGTTGAGACTTGGTATCAGAGGAGTTAGAACTTTCGGTTTCCATACCAATCGTAGAGTTCACAAAACTACAAAGAGATAAAAGAATGATTGTGATGTCTAATAACGCCTCTATTCACCACTGCCTGGTTATTATTTAATGAGCAATAAATACATCAAATGTTTCGTTTATATTTAGGTTGTACAGACTACCAGTAGATCATTTATATGGGCAGTGTATTCACTCTTTTTCGTCCAAGATGATAAAGGGACTGGTAGTTGAATTTTCCCAAGAATGACACAAATAGACCTTACATCTTCGTCGAATTTAACACAGCCCTGCTTTAACCAAGTCCTGGCAGAAATGGACTGACTGATTGCATTTTCAACAGCCCCAGTGGAACTCGAACCATGACAGTGCAGCCTGTAATCTTGACACATCATTGTCTCGAGTGTCTTTAGGTCACACGACATATATGAAGTTCGAGAAGGCCAGGCATTTTTCCATATCACTTTTTGTGCTGGGATTGTCAATGAAGCAAAGTTATAGTTGCTATGGAAATCGACTACTTATTTTTCATTTGTAAGTAGGTCTTTCGAGACTGCCATCAATTGTTTGTGTTCTACAATGCTACCATTAAAGACACATAGCGGCTCTACTATCGCGCTTGGCTGCAGAATATTTATAATAGCACTATTTAAG